TGGGGATGCATTCCTGGGCTGTTCTCTGTCCTTTCTTCTCCCCCCCCCCCCCCACCTCCACTGTCCTTCCTTTGTTACCTTTCCTTCCTAATATATGTTGACAATTATTATATAGTAAAGCATACAGTGTATTCAAGTTGGTAACTTTTGATACTTGTGACATAGTCTTTAGTTAAGATAAGGAGCAGGTCAGCTCCTCAGTTCCTTCTGCCCTTGTGCTGTACTGCTGTCCGTGGGTCAGAGACCAGTCATTTTACTTGTTCTGGGACCCTCAAAGGATCTGAGATTCTTCAGTGGGTGTTCATACCCTTGAGGCCCTAGTTTAGATCTAGTCCCTGCCTGGAGCTGAGACAGATGTCTTGAAGATTGAAATGTTCAGGATTTTTAATGAACTTGACAAATTAGTGCCTATTCTTAGGCTACCCATATTTGTTTAATGTCTATTCGTCTGCCCAGTGAAATGTGTTGAACCCTGGTAGGTATCATCTAGCCAGGTACCAGGAAGGATGCCTGCCACAGTGAGCAGGATAAGGAGGTAGGCTTGGAGGTATAAGTGAAAGGCCTGGTGTGTACACATCTGAGAAGCAGCGTGTCAGGAGAAGAGCAGTGCAGGGGAGGCACAGCCCCAGAAGCTGGCGGAGAGTGCTGGGAGGTAGAAACACAATACAAGCCTGGAGTTACAGCAATACTGATGAGCTTGCTGGGCACGGCTGCTGTGTGGACCTGTTTCTTAGAGAATGCTTGCTGGCTCTTGGAGAACTGACCAACCAGGAACTCTGGAAAGTGTAACACACTGGGTCTTCCTCTTTTCCGTGGGTCTCCCTAGTGCTTGACAAGAAGACTTATTGAACATCTTGGCAGTGACCATGCCTTGAGGTGACCTGATTGTCTAGAACCTCACTGAACATCCTTAGCATCTCTTCATTTCCTGTACAGGTAGTGATTGATGCTCGGTGATGCTTAAAACAACCCAACACCATAGCCCTGGCTAGTCTGCAAGTCAAAGAGATCCACCTGTTACTGTTGTTTTGATTTGTGCCTCCCTAAAAGCAAGAAATGCTGAGCAGCATTGTTATTTCTTAGTAAAATGCCTGGCAAACTTTTTTTTAAAAATCCTAAAGTTAAGATATCTTGTCGTTGTTAGCATTTTTATTGCTGTGCAGAAACATCTTAATCACGGCAGCTCTTATAATGGAAATACATTTAATTGCGGTGGATTACATTTTCATAGGTTTAGTCAATTACCATCATGGTGTGACCTGGTGGCTTGCACGTGCACAAGGTGGCAGAAAAGCAGCTGAATGGTTTGATCTCTTGACCCACAGGCAATAAGAATTGGTGATGGCTTGATATAGGAGACCTCAAAGTCCATTCCAGTAGCGATACACTTCTTCCAGTAAAACCGTACCTACTCCAGGAAAGCCACACCTTCTAAATGTGTCACTCTCTCTGAGCACATGGGGGTCAGTTACATTCAAACTACTACATATCCCTTTTTGTATTTTATCAGTTTTCAAGTCCAATTCCAGAGGATCTGATGTCCTCTTGTGGTCTCTTCAGGGAATCGGCACGCATGTCGTTCACAGACACACATGGCAGTAATACCCACCCACCCCACAAAAACAGGCAGACAACCCCCCCCCCCCGCAAACAGAACCAAACAACTTAAAATGAGGTAAAAATTAAAAAAAAAGAAATGAAAAGGATTTAAAATAATGGCTAGGGGCTGGAGAGCGAAACTGGGTGGAGGTTTTCTCTGAAAAGGGTTTTCACACCTGCATACAGACTAAGTCGGATCCTAGGTTGGCCAGGGTACCACCTGGATTTATCTTGCCAGGTGACGGGGTCAGTATAATGCCCGAATCCTAACAGTATCAGCAGGCACTCAGGCTTTCTGAACTGCTGAGCCGTCTTTCCAGCTGGCTTTAAAATATTTTTTTCCTTTTTAGCATTTATTTTTTATTGATTGAGAATTTCATACATGCATAGATAGGTTTTGATCAAATCTACCCTGTATCCCTCCCCTCCATCTCCTCCTCTATTCCCTCACATATATTTTCCCCATAACTTCATGTGACTTTTCAAAAAACTCACTGAATCCACTTGACGCCACCTGCATGTGCTTGCGTGTGGGGTCACCTCCTGGCGCAGGAGGAGTTAAGAGGCTGTATTCCTGAAGAAAACGGATTCTTATCCCTCTGTAGCTAAGAGTTACCAGTAGTCTTTAGCTAGGATGGGACTTCCTGAGCCCTGTTGTGTGCATAGAGAGGCCAGGAGAGGGCGCTGCTTGACCTCCTTTATAACACTTTACCTATTCCTTTGAGGTAGGGTCTCTCTCTGAAACCGAGGCTCAGTTTTCTTAGGCAGGCTGGAAGCCAACAGACCCCTTTGATCCTCCACCACTGCACACACACTTGGAGTTGGGGTTGCGGGCTCTCATTCATGGGATGCCTGTCATGCTACCTGCTTACTGGGATCCCAGCTCAGGCCCCCATGATAGTGCAGCAAATGTGTTTAATCCCTGAGCAACCTCTCCAGCTCCCACCAAGTGGTTTTTGATGACTGCTAGAATGACGTGATGGGAAAAAAATATTTTCTTAAATGGCTGGGACTATTTGGGCATTTTTAAAAAAAGCAACAGAAAAGAATGGAGAGTTTTCACATGACCCCGTGGTAACTATTGACAGCATCGAGCTACGTAAACAGCCAGCCGAGAGGGCACATGTGTTTCCTGACTCCTGTGTAGATGAAGAGGGGGATGTGGGGACATGCACAACAAGGGGTTCCTTGTTCAAAGTTTATCAAACAATTTCTAAATGGACACATTTTATTAGCTATAAAATAAACTTTAAGAAAGCTTTTTAGCTGGAGGTTGATGGGAAATGCCTTTAATACCTACATTCAGGAAGCAGAGGAATCCAGTATGGTCTACAGACTGATTTCCAGGACAGGCAGAGCAACAGAGAAAAACAAAACAAAAGACCAAAAATAAAAAAGAAATGAAACAAACAACAAAACACAAGAAAAGAAAAATTCACATTCCTTTCTGTTTTTGCATTAAAGGTCACGGTTTTTCCCCCTTTTATTACAGCAGGTATTTTGCTCTTTTCAAACTCTTTATTTTTGTGTATATGAGCGTTTTGCCTGTATGTGTCTGTGCGCCACTTGTATGCTTGGTGCCTGAAGGGGTCAGAGACCACCTTGGATTCCCTGAATCCGGAGTAGATCATGGCTGTGAGCTGGCATGTGGGAGCTCTTCGGAAGAGCAGTCAGTGCTCTTACCTGGTGAGCCATCTCTGCAGCCGCAAGAAGTTATTTTCAAAAAGCTAAAAAAGGAGCAACTATTTCAACATTGGGCAAATGTCACCTTCAGTCAGATTCCTCTATAACCTGTGACCACCAAAACGGGGAGGAGAACATAATGAGGACAGAAAGTTCCCATGTCAGTTTCTCTTCGGTTCTAGAAGTTTTAGATCTCAGTTGTTCCATTGTGGGAGGATGTGGAGACATGGAGAGGAAGCATAAGAAGTGACAAATGGGATGGCTCAGAGGGTAAAGGTGCTGGAAGACAAACTTGACCTGAGTTCAATCCCTGGAATTCACAGTGTGGAAAGAGAACCGACCTTTGCAAGTTGCCCTCTGACCTCCATTAGTGCTCTGAGGCACGCACAGGTGCGCGCACACACACACACACACAAACACACACACACACACACACACGTGCAACTAAATAGATAAATAAAATAAGAAACAAAGTATCAGATCAGGTGGTTTAAAGGGGAAGTAACTGGCTGGGACAGGGAGACTAAGCCTTTTTACACATAAACCTTTAAAAACATACCATGTGAGTGCAGGTGTGCCTGTGAGTGACAGAGGACAGCCGTGGGGAGTGATAGTCCTTGCCTTTTACCTTGTTTGAGACAGGGTTTCTTTGTTGTTCCTCTCTGTGTGCAGGCTAGCTGGCTGTGAGCTTCCTGATTCCCCCACCCCCTCCCACCTCATCACAGAGTGCTGGGATTTCAGATGTCTGGCTTTTCCTAGGCTCTGGGGATCTGAACTGAGGTCCCTATACTTGTGTGGCTATGACAAAAGCTTTACCCACTGCGCTCTTCTCCAGAGCCCACACCTGAGTCTATTTAGATCTATGTCTTTTAGGTCTATTTGAACTTGATTATGAGAATACATAACTTCTAGAGATGGGACAGTCATCTGAGGTATTAGGGGCACAGCTCAGCGGTGGAACACTTACCCAATACTCATGAGCCCTGGGTTTCAACCCAGGGTCCTAGAACAGTCCAGCTGCTGGCCCTGTGGATGTGAGTCTACAGACAGGAAGTAGAAGCGGGTCAATGAGAACGGGAGAATTCTGGGAAGAAGGAAGCTCTTTCTGTAGTTGTGAGCCTGCCACAGAAAAAGAAAGATGTGACCTATCCTGCCAGAAAAGGTACTGAGCCATGTGGCTAACATAGATAAGAATAATGGGTTAATATAAGTTATAAGAGTTAAGAAGCCTGAGCTAATGGGCCAATCAGTTTATAGTTAATGTAGAACTCTGTGTGATTTCTTTGGGACTTAACGATTGTGGGAACCAGGCAGGACAGAAAACTCAGTCAACACATGCCAACTGCTGTCCTTGTGGATGGGAGCCTACAGGGGACAGAGGGGGAGCTTGCCCTAGCCTCCTCTGATGGAGTCAGCAATGGCCCCAAGGTATTCATTTTGGTTCACTTCTGAAGGGGTGCTCAGTAGTTTGAGGACATGTGGGCCCAAAGGGATCCTGAGGGCCCAAGGGAGCAGCTGGAGTCAGGAGCAGGAAGTAAACAACTTTCCCTCTGAGTGCTCAGCCAGGCTGGAGCCTCATCAAGGATTGGGGCTGCCTGAGATAGGGCACAGTGGTTGCTGTGGTCATGAGGATGACCTCTGAATCTCAGGAGAGACCTGGAGGGGGGTCAGGCCTAAGAACGGCGTGTGTAACCGGATCCCTTGCTGCTGTTTTTCAGGAAAACCAAAATGCTTCTCGCTTCACCTCGGAATCCTTCCCCTCACAGTGTTCCTCTTGGTCTTCTTTGGGTAAGAACCCGGGCTGGTGAGGATCCTGAGCCGTGAGCATGCCCGTTTCCATGGGAGTGATGAGGGTGCTCTTGGCCACTCCCACAGTGGCACGTCCACCTTTTGCTTCTCCCCAAAGTGAAGCGTCTCTTGCAAGACTCTTTGGATTTCACAAAAGGGGTCTCGGGGCTGGATGCCCTGTCATTTGACCCTAGCTACGTGGGTGGGTCTGGGGAAGGAGGCAAAGGCAGGTCTGGTGGCTCAGAGGCATTTCTCTCTAGATGCAGATGGTCTGAGAACCCTCACAGAGCAAACTCACTGCCATGTTCTGTAGACGCAGTCTGGAAATACAGTCCGGTGTAGTCTTGAGTTATAGGTACCTGGCATGGAGGTGGGGCTGTCTGTAGCTGCTACAGGTGTTTAGATAGAGGTCTTGTGCCCAGGGTCCTTCCTCTCACCACCTCTTTTTCTAGTGTGATGGGCATGCTTAGTCCTGTCACGTGGCCCTGCATCCCCACTGAGAACTTCTGTGCTCACTGTGCTGGGTGCAGTGGTGCATTTGGAGGCGGGGACAACCAGCCAGTCTCAGGTCTGTGTCCTAAACAGCTGCCCCTGTGTGCACCCTTCCCACAGCTATGGGTTCTTGAGCCAAAGAAGTCAGAAATCGAGAGACCCAGGAGCTGTGACTAGGTGAGTGTTTGTGGAATGTGCATGTCATATATTTATGTGTGTCCTATGTGCGTATGCGTATGTAAGTGTGTATCATGTGTAAGTGTCTGTCATATGTGTCTGTGTGGTGAAGGGTTACTGACTGGGTGAACATTCTGCTTCCTGCTGTCTTGTGCGTCTGCCTGTACTTCTACATAGATTGGTCTACTCCTACTCTAGGCTGCACAGAGCAGCCTCAACTACCCCATGCTGTCTTTTTAAAGGGAGTGTTTTGGGGGACACTATTATCTTTCCTGTCTTCAGCCTTGTCCTCCCTCCTGAACCTGCCTGGGACAGCTTCCGTTCCCAAAACACCTTCCCTGCAGCCTGCTGAATGCAAGAGTTTTTTTCTTCTATTACTAGAACAAAGTTGTACCCTCAGGAACTATACTCCTTCCTCCAGTCTCTGTGTACCTGGTCTTAATCTGTCTCCTGTGTTCTCCTTTTGCAGTGTGGATGTCGGAGAGCTGGATGTCCGGGAAGCTGCAGCCTTGTCAAGGTAACCTGCCCTCACATGGTGCTCGCCACTCTGGACTAAGGGGTGAGGATGGAGGGGTGTGTGTGTGTGTGTGTGTGTGTGTGTGTGTGTGTAATTATGAGCAGCTGGTATGTCCCTTCCTGTACCCAAAGTGGAGCACCTAGCCCTACACTTTGCATTGACTAACTGCATGTCATTTGACTTTTAAATTGTCTGCCTGGCTCTTGTGGTACAACTGAGTTTACAGATTTTCACCGCATTCCTAGGGCAGCATACACAGAACGTTTACTCATTCAGCATAGTAAGCACATTCATGCTGTGGTGCAGCCATCACCACCATCCGTCTCCAGAACATCCCATCTTGTAAACTGTGTCCGTTAAACACCGCCTCCCCATTGCCCAGCCCTACTGGGGGTCCCGGCACCCATCTTGCCTGTTCTGTGTTGTTCCTCTGAGCACGGCCGCTCTGTAGTAGTGTCTCCTAGGGATGGGGTCCTGTAGGGTTTCTCTCCTGGTGCCTGGCCAGACTCACTCAGGAAGGTGTTATCCTGCACAGGCTTCATCCCTGTGCAGAAATTTCCTGTTTCCCTTTTTTAAAGGCTCATTCACTGCCTTTAATAAAATTATTTTTGTTTTATGTGTATGAGTTTTGCGTACATGTATGTCTGTGTACAACATTCATGTCTGTAAGCAATGAGGCCATAAATGGTTTTGGGTCCCTGGAACTGGAGTTACAGACAGGTGTGGGTCTCTATGTGGGTGCTGGGAACTGAATCCCGTTGCTCTGCAAGAGGAGCCTGTGCACTTCCAGCTGAACATCTCTCCAGCCCTGCATCTGGGTTGCATGGGGCATGTAGCTTACTAGTAGGGGTGGCTCATGACCCTTGGGGCTTGAACTTTGAGGGAACTTTACACTGACATTGGGACTGGTCTCTGTTCAAGACAGAGAGCCAGGAATCTTTGTGCCATCAACCAGGGGAGGACCATGGCAGGCTGCAGGATCAGGCTAAATGGTCAGCATCAACCCGGGATAGAAATGTTCAGTGTCATATGACCTGTGATTAAAGTGGTCTCAGCTCTCCCAGCCTTAAGTGGGGGAGGGGGTCATGATTTCCTCTTTCTGCCTCGTGTCAAGTAAAATTGTGATCTTCCTACTTTGGTCCATCCTAGGCTCCCAGGATCATGGACAGGCTCAATGGCTTGGTTGCCACCACTTGTTCAGGTCTGTGTGTCTGGTGCACAGCTGCCAGTGACATGCATTCCAGGGACTTTCTTGTCACCTTGAGTTCTGGTGTTTTCTTATTGCAGGATGGTCTACGCTCAGCCAAAGACGTTAACACCCAGGTGAGTAGATTTAGTCAGTGCATGTGTAATGCAGGAGTCGCAAAGGTACAGAAGGACGATTTGCTTGCTCTGGGGAATAGTTCAGCAGCACACCTGAGACCCTGGGTTAGTCTCCAGCACTGGAAAAACAAAAAACCCAATTATGATTCTCTTGGCATGCACTTCATCAACCCTTTCCGAGACTTAAGGTTGTCTGATTCTGGAGCCCAGAGCATCTTCTGGCTCTCATTCCCCATCTGGGCTTCTGTTCATTGTTTCCTGTCTCTGCCACCAGGGTTTTCAGAGATGTGGTGGTTGCAGTGGCAGTAAACTCAGTTGCTTCTAGAGCTTGGTGGAGTGGGGTTGGGGTAGTCAGTGAGAGCTGCTGATTAGCCCAGCCCACACTCAGGGATTGCCACATCCACGGCTGTCTCGCCTGTGTGACAAAATGCCTCTCAGGTGGTGGCTGTCTCAAAATGAGGGGCTCGTGCTTCCTGGAGCTTGGCCCCCTGGCGGTTCCCTGGCAGTCTGCTCCAGTTATGGTGCCTGATTAGCCTCAATGACCTCATTCACTTTGTTTCTGGCGATGGTTTCTTGCATTGGCTTTGCTATCTTTTCTTCTGTTCTACTTTTCTCTTGACAAAAACTTAATCTGTTCAGGGAACCAGGAGACATTCCCAACGACTCCTTGAATACGGAGGAACTGATGCGTCAGTTCCCTCCCTTGATTCAGGCCATTAATGTTATGATTAAGACTCTGGCTTGCTCTCTGGGGGAATTTATGGATACCCTAGAACAGAAAGAGCTCATGATAGGAGATTTGGTAGAAGATGGGTAAATTATGAAGGAAAATATATGGAATGACATGAGTTACCATTTATGGAGAGGCTAGCCAGAATGAGAAACCCCTGGTGCATTTTAGATAGGAAAGAAAGGCAGGCTATTCTTGATAACATGAAGCCAGCCATTCGATATTGGAGCAAACCCTGGGGGTGGAATCCTGAAGAATGGTGTTTGGGTTACCTTGGTTACCTTGAGGGCAGATATGATTTAGGGCCATGAGAAAGCGCAGTTGGTTAGTGGTGTGAGACGAATTTCAAAGAAAAGCTCTGCCCACCTGGCCCTGACCACAAGACTTGCTGAGAATAATCAATTGTCTGTAATCATTTTTCTATGGAAGCTTTTATGTCTTCCAACTTCCTTCTGTAATCTCTTAAAAGTGATCCTTGAATTTTAGTAAAATTGCAGCAGATTCAAATCTCGTTAAGGTTGTGTCTGTCTGTCATTCGCCGAATCCTGGGTTCTCCTAAGCCTTCACCCCTGCTCTTCCTTGGTCTTCGATCTCCAAGAGAGTCAGTCTGTGGCAAGGAATGGTGGGCAGCCCCGGGGGAAGCTGAGGGTGAGAATCTGAGAAGGGTTCCTGCAGACGTGTTTGATCACATGTTGCCTGTGGCTCTCTCCCCTTGCAGTAGAGAAGATGTCCTTGTCTTGACTCCGTGGCTGGCTCCCATCATCTGGGAGGGGACCTTCAACATCGACATCCTGAATGAGCAGTTCAGGCTTCAGAACACCACCATTGGACTGACCGTGTTTGCCATCAAAAAGTAAGCAGAGGGTGCTGGAGAGATGGCTGAGGATAAAGTACTTTCTTCAGGGATGTGAGGACCTGAGTTTGATCCCTAACACCCGTGTAATGACTGGGCATGGAGTCACGTTCCTGTAATCCCAGTACTGAGGGTGGAGGGGAGAGACAAGTGGATCCGGGCAGCTTTCTGGACAGCACAGACAAACAGTGAACTTCAGAGTCAGAGAAGGAACCCTGTCCAAAGAACAGAAAGAAATGACAGAAGAAGACACCCAAAGTCAACTTCGGCCTCCACATAGGCACACAGACAAGTAAAGATGAACATATACAATGGGCAGGCACACACATGCACATATACACACATACACACATATAATAGTCAAGGTGGATGCCAGTCATACCAAGCTCCATTCTTGTATTTAATATGAAGCGGGCGTGGGGCTGGTTCACTCTGTCACCCTGGTTAACTCTAGAGGGCTCAAAGGGGAATGAATCCAGCTGTGACACCTGCCAGTGCCCCAGGCCAGCTGTCCCTCGCTCTGTGATCCTAGCCAGGTGCTATTTTCACCTCTCAGCACACACTACACACCTCAGTGTGTACTTATCCCCAGGTCTGGTGGCAAGGGACGGAACGTCCGCAGAGCTGCAGCTACTCATGGTTTAAAACGTCCATAGAGCTGCAGCTACCCATGGTGTACCAGGCTTTCCTTCTTAGGCCGCCACCAGCTCACAAATCACAACATGGAGAAGTAGTATTAGTTTTGAATGCTTGACTTAGCTTACCTCTTATTTTAATGTGTTTCTTTTGATCTACATTTTGCCGTGGGGCTTTTTTTTACCTTTCTACGTTCATTCATCAGTTTGTTCCTTCCTACCTAACTTCCCCCTTCCTTCTTCCTTTTTTTCTCCCTTGCTTTCTAATTCCTCCTTCTCCTCTTCTTCCTCCTCTTCCTCCTCCTCCTCCTCCTCCCCCTTCTTCTCCTCTTCCTCCTTCTCCTTTTTTCTTCTTCTCTTGTCCTCTCCCATTTATTCCCTCTGCCCAGCAGCCCCACCTAACCATCTTTTGCCTAACCATTGGTTGTTCAGGTTTTCATTAGAACAATCAGGTGCCTTAGGCAGACACGATGAAACATATGAACACATCTTTACATAGTTAAACAAATGCAGCATAAACATGTAGTAATGGGGCGGCGGGGCTGTGTTCCCAGCACCCCGGCCGCCTGCTCGGCTAGCTCATGCTCCGAAATAACAACACACAAACTGTATTCATTTAAACACTGCTTGGCCCATTCTCTTCTAGGCTAATTCTCACATATTAATTTAGCCCATTTCTAATCATCTGTGTGTAGCACCCCAAGGTGCACTTACCAGGAAGATTCTAGCCTATGTCCATCCTGGGTAGGAGCTTCATAGCGTGCGTCTGCCCAGGAGCCAGGAGCATGGCGTCTCTCTCAGGCGTCTGCTCCCGAGAGGAGAGCTGTCGAGACTGAGCTCACTTCCTCTTCCTCCCAGCGTTCTGTTCTGTTTACTCCTCCCACCTATCCTCTAACCAATAAAATGGGCCAAGGCAGTTCCTTTATTAGCCAATGACCTTCCTCCATCATAAACAAGTGGAACACATCTTTCATAGTTAGAGTGATATCCACAACAGATGTGTCCTCAGATGCAGGATAAGGTGGACAGCATGGTTGGGTCAAACCTTTCATTTTAGCCTTGTGGGTGGAGAGCAGCAGACCTGTAAAGCCCTGAGACCCTTCGTCAGGCTGACTTTAGGTCACAGACAAGAAACTTGCCCTGTGGAAGCCTGCAGAAGCGGGACAGAGTGGCATTACAGTGTAGAAGGCTGTGGAGGGCTGAGAGCTTCCTTTGTGCTGCCTGCGTATGAGAAGAAAGGGGCTTTATCCCTCCCTCCAAGGGCTGGGTGAGACCCAAGGATAGTACTGAGGCCTTTATACCCATCAGTCTTGAGAGAGGTTTGGGGCTCAGCTGGAGGGATCCTAGGCACCTTTAGAATGCCTGCAGTGCTAGGGACAGAGAACGTCACAGTAACAAGACATACACACTACCTTGGCTGGGTGCTGCTGGGTACATGAGCAAATGCCTTGCCAGGTGTGAGTAGATGCTTGGTGGGAAGAAGGCCTCTAAGGGAACTAGCATGGTCACCTTTGCATAAAGACAACAGACATGTCTACCTGTATTCTGCCATGGTCCCCACCATGATGATAATGGCCTGAACATCTGAAACTGTAAGCTGCCATCTCAATGAAATGTTTTCCCTTATAAATATTGCCATGGTCATGACCTCTCTTTTCAAAAATAAAAACCCTAAGTAAGACAGAAGTCTTTTGTCTTTGGACCAAAAGGTTTGGCTTAGACTTGACCTGCCTATTAGGGTGCCCGTTTCCCCTTCCCTGCCTTCTCTGCGAGACTGATTCTTTCTTGGTGGAGACCATAGGGGAAGACTCTTAGGAACATGAGAGAGTTACTGAGTAGTTGTCCACAGGCAACTTCAAGTCTCTTCTGAGTTAGGTCTGGGATAGAGAGAACCCTTCCTTTCCTGAGGCAGGACCCTGCAGGGTGCCACAAAGGAGGGGTGCAGGTCCCAGGCACTTAAAAATCTATCTTGGCCCACCAGAGCTTAGAATGTGGGACCCTGTGCCCAGGCTCTGCTCAAGCCAATGCAAGGGTATGGGATGTGGAATGTGTTGGGATGGAGCTGTTACTGGAGGGGAGGGTGACAGACTCCTGGAGAGGTGGCCTGCTGAGGGGCCTGCCAAGACAACAGATACCTGCAGCACATCTGCCTGGATCCCCAAGTCTGGAGTCATCTGTGCTTCCTGAGTAAAAGCTTCCAGGCCTCTGCTTCAACATTTCTTGCTTAGATGTGGTGCTGATGTTCCACCCTTCTGAGGTAAAAGAGGGTGAGGTGAGGAACAGCCTGCAGATTGCTCAGTACAGCTGTAAAGTGGGGATGCTGTTGCTTCAAGCCTCATGGTAGCCATGGTTTCTGCAGCCTGGGCCCCTGCCCTGGTTAGTCTTGCCCTAGCTGTGTTAAACCTCTGCTTACCCCTTTGTCATCTTCCACAGGTATGTGGTGTTCCTGAAACTGTTCCTGGAGACAGCAGAGCAGCACTTCATGGTGGGACACAAGGTCATCTACTATGTCTTCACTGACCGTCCTGCCGAGGTGCCACAGGTGCCCCTGGGGGCAGGACGGAAGCTGGTGGTGCTGACCGTGCGCAACTACTCCCGCTGGCAGGATGTGTCCATGCACAGGATGGAGATGATCAGCGACTTCTCTGAGCGGCGCTTTCTGCAGGAGGTGGACTACCTTGTGTGTGCAGATGTGGACATGAAGTTCCAAGACCACGTGGGTGTGGAGATTCTCTCAGCACTCTTCGGTACCCTGCATCCTGGTTTCTACAAAAGCAGCCGAGGGTCCTTTACCTACGAGCGCCGGCCAAAGTCCCAAGCCTACATTCCCCGGGACGAGGGTGACTTTTACTATGCAGGGGGCTTCTTTGGGGGATCAGTGGTGGAGGTGCACCGTCTCACCAAGGCCTGCCATCAGGCTATGGTGGAGGACAAGGCCAATGGCATTGAGGCCGTGTGGCATGATGAGAGCTATCTGAACAAGTACCTGTTGTACCACAAGCCTACAAAGGTGCTGTCCCCAGAGTATGTGTGGGACCAGCAGCTGCTGGGCTGGCCCTCCATCATGAAGAAGCTGAGATATGTGGCTGTGCCCAAGAACCATCAGGCAATCAGGAACCGATAGCTGAATTCCTGTTGGAGAGGCCAGGCTTATATCCAGGGTCATTCCAGGCTGTGTGGAACTGGGAAGATTTGAGAGACATTTATGAAGTGTCGCCATCTACCCCACTTCAGGGTCTAGCAGGCCCAGTACCACCTGTCTTATCCTACACTGAGCCCCTGGAGTGGCAGCCACCCACAGCTCCCACTGTGTCTCTAAGCTCCTTCTCAGTGAGATGTAGCAAGAGCTTGCACAACAAGGGAGAAATGCTGTCATGCAGTTACCTGAGGGCCTGGGCATCCTTATTCAGGCATGTGCCTTCCTCTTCTGGGAGGCTTGACAGATGACCAGTGCCCTTAGGAATAGGCAGGAGGTCATGGAGACTCACAGCCTGCAGGCCTCTGAGGTGCTTAGCTCCTGTTTAGCCCAACTGATAGACCAACAGCCTGTGACCAATGCCTCTGCTCAGTTTTGGTTCATTTGGGAATAGCTAGTTATTTATCCTGGGAATAAATGTATTTGTAGATGATACAGGAAGTTTAATTTTTTTCTTTTCTTTCTTTCTTCCTCTTCCTCCTCTTTCTCCTTTTCCTCCTCTTCTGCCTCCTCTTCCTCTTCTTCTTTTTCAAGGTACTTGGGATTGAACCCAGGGCCTCATGGATGCTAGTCAGATATGCTACCACTGAAGTCCAGGTCAAGAGACACATGACTGAACTTGCTGAGTGTTAGGTCCACTGCCTCATTTTATACTCCAGTTTTTATCTGAAATTTCCAATCTAAAGCGATTGATACTTTTTTTTCAGTGTTGGGATCAGACTCATGTCCCAGCCTCCAGTTTTACATTTTTTAGATGGTAGAGGGTATTGTTGCTTGTTTTTTTCTTTTTTATTGAGTCAGAATCTCTAGTAGGTCCAACTGGTTTCAGCCTTAATGTGTACAAGGATGGTCTTGAACTCCTGATCCTTCTGTATCTCCCTCAGCAGTGCTGGGGTGATAAGCATGTCATGAACCTACCTCTGATGTTCTTAATTTTCTTAAAACCCCAGTGATCTTGTTCCAAAATGGTTTCTCGGCCCCAAAGTCCTTTGTGTCCTTAGCTGGTTTTTCATTTCTCACAGTGTCAGATTTTGTGGTTTTTTTCTGTGACAGGATCCCTATGTATCCCCGGATGGCCTGGAATTTGCTACTAGACCAGGATGGCAGAACTCATAGAGATCCTCCTCCCTCTGCCTGTCACCACACCTGGCCAGATTTTTCCCCCTCCATCAAAGGTGGATAAACCACCAATGTCAAATATTCCATAAACCTTTCCCATCTTGACAACCCATGTATGTGCTATCTGACCAGCCCTGGATACTCTTGAGACTTGACTTCCCTTCATCCCTTTACCTTTCTCAGCAATTATGAATTAACCAATCACATTAATTCTGATGTCTGATTCCCGTCAATGGAATGAGGCCCGGTCATGACCTGTGTTACCATAAAAGCAAGTGAACATCCTGTCTGGTGTGCTTGCTTGCTCTGTGTGGCGGAACACACTTTTCAGAAAGAAATAGCCTTGACAGGTTGTTTTTGATTCCTTGGGTGCTCGTGAGATACTGAGAATGTTCTCCAGAAACATGAAAGCTAGAGGGTAGTGTCTTTCTGTCTCTTCTGTGATTGGTGGATTCCCTGGGTTCTCGGCCTCTCTGCAGGATCTCTAAAATGTAAGGTAGAAGGTGTGGACAGGGTTCCTTGAGGTCAGGAGGGTCATTTAACCTCAGAGATTATGGTAGTTAAGAGAGGTGTGGGGCATTATTTAGGGGGGTTCAGACAAGGCTGGAGACGTGGAGGGCCCCCATAGCCTTCTGTGAGCTTCTATATCCTCTTCAATATCTCTGTCTTCATTCCCACTCAGGGTTGATCTCTGGTTATCTGGTGCTGGAAGCTGAGAGTTGGGAGTCTTTAAGGTAACAGCTAAAGTAAGGTACAAACAGATCTGAATATTAAGATGGAAAAATTCCAATGTTAGGAGCTTCCTGGGTGCCGTCATCTTTCCCTTTTCTCTAAAGTTCATACAAGCTTCCATCTCCATTTGAGAAAAACCAAAATAAGTGTTTTCACAGGGACATGCCCCGGGTTCCTTGTGCTCTCCACTGTCTATTCCTGAGACCCCTTCTGGAAAGAGAGAGAGAGAGAGAGAGAGAGAGAGAGAGAGAGAGAGAGAGCTCAAACAAAAGTAAATCAATACAAACAATGTTAAAATGTTATCCAGCTGTATCTAGGAACACATACCTCTAGTCACAGGACCCGACAAGTGGCAGACAGAAGGATTAGTAAGCAGCTCAAGGTCACCCTCCTCTTCTTATCAAGTTTAAGGACAATCTCAGTTATTTGTGACCTGGTCTCCAAATATTTAAAAAATAGAAATCCCACACTAGCTCAGAATTGAGAATAATAGAGGGTTATTTATCCTCAACCTCATCAAAGGCCTGAGAATGGCGATAATATTACTTGAGCAGGCAGGAAGTACAATCAAGCAGCTTCCAAAGAGAGCAATATATGACAGAGACAATTAGTTACCTGAGTAATCACCTGAAGTTTCATTTGCAGCATTGAAGCAACCAATTTTAGTTCTGGCCTAGCATAACTGACAGACCATTTTCAGAGGCAGGTAATTTTCAGAACCATCTTGCCCTGTCTTGGCAAGATTTGACAGTCTTTTTCCTTGTGTCTTGGTTATCAATTTCCAGATACCATGTACTTTGTCAGTGGTTAGGGTGCGGGCAGTTCCTTGCCCAAACGACAATTGTGCCAAGAAGAAAACAAACTCTGAGTACAGCGTCTTTGGGTAGATTGGTGCTGTCAGGAGCAATCAAGTCTCAGCTCAACAGAACCCTAAGTTATTTAAATGCCATGTTCTACAGATTCTTGAAGTTGTTGAAGATTATCTATCTAGACAGAATACAATCTCTATGTATCTAAAGAACCTAATTGATCTGACTGTATGTACAACAAGCATGAACAACTATTGACCTATAATATTTAATACCTGTATAACTTAAAGACTAAAGCTTCATGTCAAAATATTAAATAATCTGTAAACAAATGTACAACAAATGAGGACAATGATATCAAAATGTAAACAATCTAAGTATCTTGATCAGAGGTAGGATTAATAGATAATGCAATATAAAAATATATCCTAAAAGTTGTATCAATATTCAAAATGTCCTAAACAGAGGCAGAAGCATGCATATATACAATCTGACAGAGTAGATTTGCATAGGTATACAAATATAATTTGAGCTTGTATCAATATACAAAAACTATACCAATGTACATTATCCACAAATAATAGCTCTATTACCCACTATTACTATCCTCCCTCCTTTTTTTAAACACACATAGTTTTCACCCCAACCCTCTGTTGAATACAAGTAATAATCAACAACCCCTAAACAGTGTTCCCAACTCTATGGACAAACTCTTTTGGGTTGGGGGTGCCGACTTCTCATATTGCTTCCTGATGTCATGGGGGTGATGTTCTCTTTATGGGATCCTGCAAAATTCAAGTGACGGTTAAGTTTCAAAATTACTGTCTAGTATAGTTGCAAACAATTTCCAAGGAGTCTATAGATAGTTTTTTCAAAGTTCTTACTTGGAATTCTGGCCAGAATGTCATGAGAAGGTATACCATTTTGGCAGTTGGTACCCCAAAAAAGAAGCGGTCTTATAATAGCACTCTCTGCATATTGATGTCATGTCAACTAGGTGGTGATGTTGCTGTGGGGCTCCATCTTCTTCCTGGAAACTTCAAAGATTACTGCAGGAAAAGGATCTGTAGGAAAATCTATTGTTCATCATGAAAATCTTAAACAACATTCATATATACATATATCCAATGAAGATATGATATAGGCAAAAAAGGCTTGGAGAAAGTAAAATTTTTTCCTAAAGTCTTTCTTCTGTCCTATACCAGATGGCTCCCTATATGAGACAGAAGCTCTGAATGTTCCTTTTGACAACATGCTTGGATTTAGAGAATTGCAGAGCCATTGTCCAACTCCAAAACCAGCTGAATATATATATATATATATATATATATATATATATATATATATGTGTGTGTGTGTGTGTGTGTGTGCATGTGTGTGTGTAAATGTAATATAACCCATACCTGGATTCATAAAACATATTCTGTTTTCTAAATGTTCCTTAGTGGATAGTTGTAACACCTGATTTTGTGTTACACCCTTGGTACAGTTTGCGAGCCACTGTACCGAAAGTGAGTCAGGTAAGGGAGACCAGGGCCCTACAGGTCCCCCTTTTATATAAATTATGACTAGGCCTGTCTTGGGTGGCATTGGACATCAGGTAATACCCCTTACCCGTCATTGGAAAGCATCCAGGTCAAAACACATTTCCTGTCTTAGGTTGAGGCAGCCCCCCAAAAGCCTTTCCCATCTTTGGCTCACTAGTCATCCATCACCGAGTTCAGCCAGATTTGTGCTGAAAGATTCTCTGGGGCAATAGCAAAGAGGACTTGCCAAGTGGCAACATTGACCTGAGCTTGCCTTTGGCTTTGGCATCATAACCATGAAGATGATGCTCCAGCATATGTAAGCATCCCTTAAGGAGACTGTGCCTGCTCAATCCTTAATAATTCTGCCCAAATTGGAGCCCTATAAGTAAGGTCTCAGCGCTGGTGAAAAGAACCCTGGTATAGCTAACTAGAATTATTTTAAGAGCCAATTTGTAAATTGTACACCTCAGGGTCCATGAATAACAACAATAAGCTTATTACTGTAACATCTAGCAGTGGTCTTTAACCACAACCAAGAGCAAAATTAACTGTAATATTCATTTGTAAATTTAGCTCAATTTGAATGGCTACAGCATTTGCAACCTGCCCTGAGAAGGTATCCTTTGTGCTAGCAGGAAGCAACTGACTGACTAATGAAAAATCCAGCAGCATTAGCTGCTGTGGCAGCAACAGCTATGGCTGCCGATATCATGGGATGGGTAGATGGGTAGACAGGAGAGGAACAATCCTTGGCACTCGGACCACCGCAGCCAGCTCCTCAGGAAACCCGCAACTCTTCAGTTGACAAGCCAGAATCTCTTTGATCTCTTGGCTCTGTCCTGTCTTCAGGCTTCTGGACAGGAAAATCCACAGCATGCACCAGCCGCTCAGGTACCCATATTGGATTGTCAGCATCCTGCGGGAAAACACAAACAGCCCCTCTTCCCCACACCAGTACAGGATCTGGACCATACCAGGTATCATCTGATAGATTCTTCCATTTGACATGAGGCATCCCGGAAGAATCTGGCCGCCAATGTCTGTCAGCGGCGGTATGAGATTGAGCATTAACAGTCAAAAAATTTAAAATGTGTAAAATAAAAGATAAATGATCTTTGGGGGTGGAACCATATTCCCCCTTTTTTGTTTTATGCAAATAGGCTTTGAGCGTACGATGCGCTCGCTCCACTATAGCTTGTCCTTGAGGATTATAAGGTATTCCCGTTTTGTGAGAAATTGAAAACTCAGAGCAAAATTTAGCAAAGCCAGTGTTAGCATAGGCTGGTCCATTATCAGTCTTTACAGTTTTAGGAACTCCCATGTAGGCAAAAGCCTGGAGACAATGACTTCTAACATCTCGTAATCTTTCTCCTGTGTGAGCTGAGGCAAAAATGAGATGAGAATATGTATCCACGGTTACGTGAACATATTGCATGCGCCCAAAAGAAGGAACATGGGTGACATCCATTTGCCATAAATGATTAGGGGCAAGCCCATGAGGATTAACTCCCAAATGGGAAACAGTTAAAAGTTCTGTACACAGAGAGCACTTTTTAATAATATTAGTGGCTTGCTCTCGAGATATCTTAAAATGAAATCTTAAAGATCCAGCATTGAGATGAAAACGATTATGAGCTTTTTCTGCAGCTTCATAAGATTCCTGACTCACTACATAAATTTGACGAGTAAGCTGATCAGCCAAAGCGTTTCCCTCACTCAAAGGACCAGGGAGGTCAGTATGAGCCCGCAAATGCCCTACGTAAATGGGTACAGATCGGGCCCAAAGCTAAGTTTGAATAGCCAATAACTGCATCTGGACTCGAGATACAGAGGCAATATAAGCTGCAGTTTCCAACAGTGCAAGAATTTTGCTTATATACTGACTGTCAGTAAAAAGGTTAAATGGAATATCAGCATATTTCTCTAGGGCCATCTGGACAGCAACCAATTCAGCCACCTGAGCAGAGTTAGTATTAACAGACTGAATATCAAAATCAGGAGGGGAGGCTACTACAGCTCTCCCGGTGGAAGATCCATCAGTAAATACATTTCGTGCCCCTGCCAGAGGCTGCAAAGAAATAATTTTAGGGAAACATACTGGATGATTTTTAAAGAAGGTGACTAACTTATCAGAAGGATAATGATTGTCTAACTTGCAGGGATTAGTGCATAAAAATAAAGTCCAATCTTCAGCAAAATTTTGCAACCAAGTTATTTCTGCCTGGGTATATGGTGTAATAACCTTATCAGGTAACATTCCAAAAGCTTGCAAACTAAGCTTATATCCTTTCTGAATAACACGTAGCACAGCTGATGGATATGAGATAACAATTTTTACAGGTGACACATGTTCATATACCCACAGGATGGGTCCTTGCTGCCAAAAAAACTCCAGTAGGACTATGCTTGGAGGGGAAAATTATCAACAGCAGTGGCTGACTATAGTCAATATAATGAATATGAGCAGAGGCAAGCTTTCCTTCAATTAAAGTAATACATTGCCTTGCTTGAGGTGTTAACTCACGAAAGGAAGTTGGGTCTGGATTCCCCTGCAGAATGTCAAAAAGTGGTTTTAAGTCTCCAGTAGGAATTCCCAGACTGGGCCGGACCCAATTTAGGTCTCCAAGCAACTTTTGAAAATCATTCAATGTTTGTAGTTTATCTAGGCGAAGAGTAACTTTCTGCGGTTTTACTCCTGTCTGCAACAGCTGATGCCCCAAATATTGATATGGAAACTGTTACTGCACTTTTTCAGAAGCAATAACTAACCCAGCATGTGCTAGGCATTCTTGCAAGTCAGCAAAAGCTTCAAGGACTATTTCTGGGTCCTGTCCAGCTAATAGGATGTCATCTAAATAATGACTTATATACAGTTGAGAATATTTATACCTTATTGGGGCAATAACCCGTGCCACAAACATTTGGCAATTACAGAACT